CCCCACTGTTTTCTCTTGGCTAATAAATAATGTATTTGTTAAGCATTCTCTGAAGAATAGAAAACAGTCTCTCCCTGCTCTCCTGTGCTGTTCTCTCCTCTGTCTCTCTCTGGAGTTTGATATCCCTGAGTAGCTCCACCAGCTTCCACTCACTCCCTCACCTGTCCCAGGACACTTGCAATCCTAAAGCAGAGCAAATAAACCATACCTGATAACAACAACAGCACAATGAATTTCGGCAAAAATCTCTCCGTTGTCTTATTGTTTGTGGGCTTTGTTTAAAAAAACAAACAAACAAACAAACAAAAAAAATGGCTTTTAACACTTGTTTCGCAAGGTAGTCTATTTGAGTAAATGAAAACACAATACTTACATTTCAATGTGAATTCCCCCACAGAACTGTCATCCTCCATGTTCTTTGAATATAAATTCCATCGTCATCTGCGCACAAGTGATTCTGGGATATGGTAGGGTGCGAAGTGTCCATCAGATGTTCACTTCATTTTCCTGGGAAACGGAGGGTTTGACGTCACTTTCGAATTATTTCAGCCTTTGTTGCCATGGTGACACAAAGGCCTTGGATTGCGGTCTTCGGAGGGTGCATCCTGAATTGGGACTGCTTACGTCGTGACACTGTGACGCAATCGCACTTCAAATGCGCACTTCGGAGTCCGCACACTTCAGTTTGGGACAGCCTTCGTCGTGCTGCTGTGATGCAATCGCAGTTAGGTTTATATTCAGTGAGCATATCTGCAATGTATTTAGGTCCTAGGCCATTGAGTGATTTATAAATGAGTAAAAGTACTTTAAAATCAATCCTAAATGTAACTGGAAGCCAGTGTAAGGACCTGAGGACTGGTGTGATATGCTCAGATTTTCTGGTTCTAGTCAGAATCCTGGCAGCAGCGTTCTGGATGAGCTCCAGTTGTCTAGTGGTCTTCTTGTGAAGGCCGGTGAGAAGACCATTACAATAGTTCACCCTGCTGGTGATAAAGGCATGAACAAGTTTCTCCAAGTCTTGACTGGAAACGAAACATCTAATTCTTGCAATGTTTTTTAGATGATAGTATGCTGATTTAGTTACTGCTTTGACTTGACTACTGAAACTAAGGTCTGTCGCCAGAATCACACCAAGATTCCTGACTTGATTTTTAGTTGTTAGACCCCTAGAGTCAAGGTCTGCATTCACCTTGAGAACTTCATCTTTGTTTCCAAATGCAATGACTTCAGTTTTCTCCTTGTGTAACTGAAGACAATTTTGGCACATCCAACTGTTCATTTCATCAATGCATTGGCAGAGGGAGTCAATGGGGCTGTAGTCATTTGGTGATAAGGCTAGGTAAATCTGGGTATCATCAGCATAGCTGTGATAGTCAATTTGGTTCTTTCTCATTATTTGACTTAGTGGGAGCATATACAGGCTAAACAAGAGCGGTGCAAGAATTGAGCCTTGTGGGACTCTGCATGTCATGGACGTCCACTTAGACTAATGCTCTCCTATACTCACATAATAACCTCTCCCTTCTAAGTATGACCTGAACCATTTGAGTACCATCCCAGAAAGCCTGACCCAGTTTTCCAGTCTCTTTAGAAGTATGTTATGATCGACAGTGTCAAATGCAGCACTGAGATCTAGTAGTACCAGCACTGATATTTTGCCAGAATCAGAATGTAAGCGAATATCATTTATTATCTTAATGAGAGCTGTCTATGTGCTGTAATGCGGTCGGAAACCAGATTGAAAATGGTCCAGGTATCCATTTGAGTTTAAGTATTTGTTCAGCTGATTAAAAACTACCTTTTCAATAATCTTGCCTATAAAAGGAATATTTGATATTGGTCTATAATTGCTCAAACTGTTGTTATCAAGATTGCTCTTTTTCAGAAGAGGCTTAACAACTGCAGTTTTCAGGGAGTCTACACAAACTTAGTGCCGGTCACGTTGGAAGTTACCTAGCTGGGGACTATTTTCAGGCGCTGCATAATATCATTGTGCCTGCTGCATCCATTGTACGGCAGCAAAGTTCCTTGATTATTACACCGGAATGAGAGTATAGTTCATAGCCATATCAGCCTAGAAAATCACAACTTTTCATTTTCTGTCGGTCTAAGTACACGATGTAACTACAGAAGAGTCAAGTTTTAAATAGGAAAAATATTGAAACTCTTTGGTCATTTTTGAGCGACATGCTAACGGTCTAATCAGATTCAATGATCTATGCTAAGCTGCAGCTAAAAGTGCTACCGCCAGACCCGGAGATCGGCTTAATGGATTCGAAAACGGTAAAACTCAACTATTTAACTCTAGGGGAGTTGGAAAATGAGCCTATTTTCAGGCTATTATCTCATGATAGCCGCATCCAGGTTGTGTACTTCTGAATAGCATACTACTCTTACTATTTCTACAATACTACTATTTCTATAGACTACTATACTACTTTATACTACTACTATACTACTTAATATGAAGTATGTTAGAATTTGATTCGAAATACGTCCTGTATTCCATCAAAATCCATTATAACGTTGAGAGACAGCAGACGGCGCCGTTGAGTATTCTTTTTTTTTGTGCAGTAGCCTAGGCCACAATTTTTTTATAAAAACGTGGCAGTAGATGTGTGATGATGTGTTTCCAGTTCACTATACTTGCAAAAATCACTACACATGCAGTATTTAATTTTACTTATAAATTAACCTTCACATGCATAGGATACCTTTGAATTCACATAGAATTTTACAAGTGTGTTCACCCTAAACACACCCTGAACCTCACCCTTTACTTGCTAGAAATGTAAAGAATGCTTTGTCCACAGTAAATTATCTGGACTGAGTGCGACTGTATTTTGTGTTCATATTCCATGTTTGGTTTGAGTTTTTAAATAAAATTAGTATATACTATATAGTGGGAGGCTGGGGCTGGTCGTAACCCAAGAGGCAAAAGACAAATTTTCTTTTATATATATATATATATATTTATATGATTTTATATAATTTCCATTTTCACAACCGGGGTATGTTGTCACAAAAGAAAGATGACTTTCAAAAATATGAAATATTCACTGGAGTAAAAATTGTGAGAACTACCTCTAAAACGTTTGACTATTAATATACCCTAAGCCGGAATAAAGTTGTCAGGCCAGTGCTGTGTGTTTCCTGGAAACAGGGGAGACAGAGATACACACACACACACACACACACACACTCAAGTGAACGCCTCCTATGGCTGCTGCGGCCACTCCTCCTGGAACAACAGCACCCTGTTCTCCAACGCCGTTAAATGACACAATAACGACTGAAAAGTGATGTACAACGACTTTAAAGGACTCCAGCTGATCTTCAACTTCACGCAGGAGGCGTCTGGTCTGTCCGCTGCGGCGTCCACAATCCGAAGCGCTGGGACTCGAGAAATCTGCAGGAATAAAACGCGCCTCCTTCAAGCAGTTATGTAGCCTATTGATACACGCACGCGAATCGCCGAACTTCATATATGGATTATTCCAGCCCTCAGACCCTTTGATTGGATGTTTTTTTTTTATCTTTAAACAGTGATTTTACCTTGGAATAAAAGCTAAAATCATCGCTGCAACTTAAAAGCCATTATGTTTTGTACTTAAGATCTCCAGGACACACGATCCTTGCGCACTTTTGACTAAAAGCGTGAGTGATGTTTCCAGCTGCTTTCACACATTACTGACCCGTGCAGTATTTAGGCATTTGGCGGTATAAAGGCACTGAGTTGTTGCATAAAGCAACTAAAGTCTTTGTCCCGGAGCCCTTGGAGAGATGGAGGGACAGGATGGCAAAAGGAATAATGACAGTAATCAAAAGGCAGACAAAAGGTTTGCGCTCTGGTACATGGGCTGGTCGTCTCTGGACAAGCGGACCACGCTGCCCATGCTGCCCTGGCTGGTGGCGGAGATCCGGAGGAAAAGTGAGAAGAACGAGTCCGGTCCCGCACAGGCCAGAGAAGTTCAGCTGTATCTCTCGCCTCCTCTGATCCGCTGCGTGCCAGCAAACAGCAGCAACCCGTCCGTGTTCATATTCGAGCACAAAGCACAGTTTATCTCCAGGTTTATCCACAATAGCCATGACCTGTCTTATTTTGCCTACCTTATCAGAAGTCAACCCGATAACCCCGAGTCTGAGATGGCATGCCATGTGTTCAAAGCATGTGATCCAAACCAGGTATGTACGGTCACTCATTCAAATATTTTATCCGTTAAATATATTGATCAAACACACAGTGGCTATAGTTTATAAATAAATATTTTCTGAGATTTGGTTATCGGTGTATATGTGTGTGTGGGTGTGTGTGTGTGTACATAACACATATTAGAAAAAAGTAATCTTCATTCCTTTGAACCCCCCATTTTTGTAATGCAATTTTATAATAATTTTATAACAATTTATAAAAATGAACTTTCACAATGCCTGTGCCAATGCACCCTGGCCTTTAGTCTGCTGTATGATTGACATGTCTTTGTCAGTTGGATAAATGCCAGTATGTTGGTGCACCATTGCACCAGAGGAATTAGATTTACAGAGCATCATGTAAAGATGGGCCAGATCTCTCCTGGCACATGCAGAGGAAGGATTAATCAGATAAACTAGACAATACACACTTAGAATATTGAAATCCCCCTCCCGATCCTCCGCTTGCTAGCTGTCATACTGCCTTGAAACAATAATAACAACCTTGATGCACTGCACTTACATCTGAGTTCTTGGTTTCATGGTATTGATTAGAGATTAGTTGTAATGTGACCCTAATGTTAGTCTGCTGCTGAGCTATATTTGAGACGCCTGTTCAATGCACTTTGTTGGTCTGAGTAAAACATGGATTTAAACATACACGTGTGTATATGCAATGATTTGCTGTGCATTTTATTACACGTTTACAAGCATATATTTTTGTTGCTCTGTGAATTTTAGTTGAAAAGTAATCCCTTTTTTTTGCACTTGCTACATTATTTATGCTATTTGTACTATTGTTGTACAATCTCAGAGGTAAAAGTTCTTAGAAGTGAATGTGAGGAAGGGAAAGTTTCGGGCGTCCTGTGAGTGCACGTTGAGCTCCAGAGGCAACATACATCACCGTCATGTGTTATGCAAGAAAAACTGTCTGGATAGCAACACGTTCTAGATGGTCCATAAGGAATGTGTCTTAGCTCACGTCTTAAGATGGCTGCTGGCTCATTTTGAAGTGCTACCGTGCACTATAGTCTGTCCTGTGTTCAGAGACTGAACTTGGCTGGCATTTCGCCATATAAATATCTCCTACTCCTAATGCAGCCCGATCAATCCTCTCCAGATGCCTGCGGAGTGACATAGTTCAACTATTAATGCTGTGGGGGAACCCACTGGTCCCTTATTTATAACTCCACCTTCAGCAGAATAGCCCACCCAGTGTAAGGGCAACAAAGTAAGGTTATGTTTCCTTTCATAATGATATACTATGTGCACACAGATGCCTGGCCTCATTTTACTGATAGAAATGAAAGGAAAGCATTATCTGTGATTATGCGGTAGTATGTTGTTTATGCTGCGGGCAAGAAAAAATGGCCGGGGTTCCTCTGATGCATTTTGTTCATTGTTTATTCATTTTAAGATGGGGCTATTTGTTTTGCTAAAACTATTTGTTTTGTGGTTTGGAGTGATCTTCAAAATATGAAGCACAATCAATGTTGTACAGGATATAACCCACTTAGACCTCCAAGTCAGAGTTTCAGAATACAGTACAGTGTCCTATTTTATCCAGCTGCCCTGATTACCTTCCTGGTAAGCATAATTAGAATGCCTCCTGGCATGCCAATTTACATCCATACATTCAGTACAGGACTTGACCGGTGATTTGAGTTTCCTTATGTCTTAGACTAGCGTGAATTGTGTTTGGTACTGTTTCAAACTAGGGGGTGCTGGGGGTTCACAAAAATCTGAGAGAAATAAAAAGATTTTGCGCAGTATATTTTTGCAGCCGTCAAGGTTAATTTGTGCTTTCTAAAGACTGGTCAAATCTCAGAAGATTACTTTATTCTTTATTTCTTTTGAAAGTAGTTTTTAGCAGTGTGGTGGCAAAAAAAAATGTGTATAAATGTGTTTTCACATGAAAATATGTAGCTGCTTTTATATTTTATGAAGGCGTTCCTTTGCATAGGGAGCTTCATATTTTGGGGTCCATGTCATCAGGAACTTTAAGAACCTCTGATTTACAGTAAGTAATTCAGGTGAGGTTGAATGAAGCTTGACCTTGGGCCCTGCAAGACTGAAAGTGCAGAATCACAACCATTGTAGTATTTCATAACTGAGCCTGCCTTCAAATATTCATTAAAAAAATCCTCATAAATAAATTGTGAACCTGCTTAAAACAAGAGCACATCTTTCTGTGCTCTTTTCTCAGTTTTCAATCTTATTTTTATGTGGCTTGACTGGTAAGTTTCTAAGAAGCCTCCAGTGCTTTTTGCATTTTATATCTTAGTTTTTAACCTCATGCTTTGAGGACACCGCATGCTTTGAGGGTTAACTTCGTGACATACAACAACTAAAAAAAAATAAAGGTAAACATGTCATATATCTTTGGAAAGCTGAGATTCTTGTGATTCGAATGATGCAAACCCTTTTAACAATCAACACAGCAGGTACAATCAGTGTCTTTGTCAGATCACCAACAACCAAATAAACAATAACAAAACTGAAGGAACTTACCTATGAAGCCTCCACTAATTCATAACATTCCAACAAAAATGGTGTAGTTACACTGTAAAGGGTCCAGACTATCCAATTCAGTGAAATATTTAGTCCATAACACATTTATATGTTGATAAACATCCACAGAATGTAGTAGTATCATTTCAAATTAGCTGACGGAGCATCAAATCTTCTTCTTCTTTTTTATGATGTTTAATGGCGGTTGACAAACCAGCTTTTGGTGCATATTCCGCCACCTACTGCGATGGAGTGTGAGGCGATGATATCAAGGGAAATGCTAAAAAAAACAAACAAAAAAAAACCTCTGCCTATATTTTATTATATAAATTTGTTCTTTTCAGAAAATTAATAAGAGCTTTATGAGAACTGTTTAACACATTCTATAATGTAGCGATCAAATCTTCGGCACATTCTGAAGTATAGCTTGTTTTCACATGTAAACATTACAGATTTATTGATGTCAAAATGGCCGCTGACCTCTGCCCTTTTGATTAAATTTTGATTGCCCCATTTGAACCAATAGCTGCATCTAAGAGGTGTTAACAGGCAGCGATAGCCAAAAAGCTCCCAGGATGAAGGATGGTGCCGCCCTCTCTTTGATGGCAGTAGATCGATCCAATTGCATCAGAGTTTGCAAATGACTGTCGTTTCTAATAGCCAATGAACTTCCGAAAAGATTAAAATGCGGCTTTAGTGGGACAGTTCAACATGTCAAGCGCAGAAGTCTGTGCGTATAGGATTATAGTGACTTGTGCGTAAAGAGCGCTTTGAGAGAGTTTACAGGTGAAATATGTTTAGAGGTGATAAATGGCAAAGAGAACGAGAAAAACAAACCTTTTGCTCTAAGAAGTTGTTGAACAATGCGCTCGGCCTGACAGTAATGACGTTTTTGACGAATTGAGCGACGTTTCATCCATTGACTTGATTTGAGGTGTTCTTGCTAACTTCTGTCATGTGTGTTTCTGTGTGTGTGTGTGTGTGTTTTATATGTGTTTGTGTTTTGAGGTGTTCTTGCTAACCTCTGTTGTGTGTGTGTGTGTGCTTTATATGTGTATGTGTTTTGAGGTGTTCTTGCTAACTTCTGTTGTGTGTGTGTGTTTTATATGTGTTTGTGTTTTGAGGTGTTCCTGCTAACTTCTGTTGTGTGTATTGCTTTTTTTATATCACAGACAATAATCTGACATTGTATTGAATAAAGACTGGGAGCAAGTCAGCAAAAAGCCATATACTGAGGGACATGATGACAGCACCTCTGAAAAAAAATCGTAAAAAACACTATAATGTGTTTATGCTTCAGTTACTATATGTCAGCAATTATTGACAGTGAATCTGGATAAGAAATTGAATAGCTCTAAGTGTAACCTTTCATTAGAGCTCAAAATTATGACTGTACATTAAAGCATTCAAGAATTGCAGCATTTTATGTGTCGTTGGTTACAAAGGGTCATTTGGAGTCTCCAAGTGGCCTTTTTTGGGAAGTGCCTAGACATAAACTTAGATAAACATGTGTAAAACACTCATTTTCTAAGGTATTGCTATCAAATTTAACATTTGGCTTGGTAAGGCTTCATTCTGTGATCCCATTGTATTTTCCAGCTAATAGCTCCCAGCTATAGTCATCTGCAGGCATCTTTTTACAAAACAAAATTTAGGCGGATTTTTTTTCTTTTTCAGTGTGTTCAAAGTTCTATTACTCAATACCAATAAGACTTACCTTTCAAAAGAGACCAAAACCATGCATATTCTCCAAATGGTTCAAGAACAGCATGCAATTTACTTTGGGTATGCATTTTTTAGGCATTTTAGGCAAATTTTACAGGAATGCTAAATGAAACAGCATTCTAATAAATTCCTATCAACCCTTTAAATATGAGGAGTAAGGTCACACATTGATGCAATTTTGCACATTCATAATAGTAATAGTTATTACTATTAAAAATAGTAATAACCTTGTGAAATAGGAGGTCATATGCACTAATCAGTGGATTTGAATTTCATAAATTTTTAATGAAAAGCAGGAATTTCTTATTACAGCTCTTTGTGTTTAAAGAGAACATAAAATAATCAGTTTAAACTATTAATCATCCACACAGCTTTGATACATAAATCAAAGAGGCTTAATTTTCCTCAGCTGGTTTCAAGTGTCTGTGTCACACATGTCTTATAAAGCTTTAGCCATACACCGTAGCCCAAAAATGTTTGAACCATTATCTGCACTTGAAAAAATGTATGAATGCCATTGCATTAGGTTACATCATATAAACCCAAGTGGCATTTATCTGTAAACATTAGAATGCTTCACAACAGCAGTTTGTTTTAAATTGTAAAAGAATATATATGCTGTTCAGAATAATGACAAAGTATTTGGACATTTTCTGATTGTCAAACAGTAGTAAAACATGTTCATAGTTAATGTAATGAACTACACCTGTGCTTAATGTGCTAGAACACCTGTGTCTGAAGTCTGATATTCTGTCATCAAATGCAATGACAAGAATTGGATGCAGGAAATTCACAAATGAGAGAACGGGAGGGAAACGTCTTTTCATCCTTGCATGTTTGGTTCAGTGCAGATAATTCATTAGACTAAATGCGGTTCTAGCGTCATCTTGCAATTAAATAATTCAGACCATTTAGGGGTTTATAAAACACTGTCGTTGATTTCTGGTGAGGTCATTGAAGTTTCTTGCAAATGTGACAAATGGTTTCTCTCTCTCTTTTTTTTTTTTTCTTGCACACTGGGCTTGTGTCCTAAAAACAGCAATAGAATGCATTGCCTTTCCACTATCAGATCAAAAAATCTGCTTTTGGCAGATTATTCAAGCTGGTTAAACTAGGTAGTTAGAGACTTTTTGGAAATCTCTGAGTGTTCATGGGAAATAAGCCATTTGTCAGTTGAAAACAAGCAGCCACACCCTTTGTGCTGCTTACACAGGCAGCCCATTGCAGGAGACGATTGCTTGAATGATTGTTTGCTTTTCCTCCTGATCTCAAGGAGCCTTTTCTCCCAGCTGCACTGTGATTTTCCACAAGTTAGCCGTGGGGTTTTAATGAAATGTTTGCATTAAACCGAGCCATATTTACTGAGAGCCGTGCAGTGGACCACAAATGTCTTAGCTGTCTTCATTTTTAATCCGGGCTCCTTGTGAAGATCTTGCAATAAGTGCATAAAACCAATTGCAAAGTAAAGAAAAGTGCTGCCTGCCCATGCAGAACTTGCTGCTACAATACTGGCCTGTTCTGAGTGGTTGCCAGGGTGTTGCTATACGGTTGCTAAGGCATTCTGAGTGGACTATAATGTGGTTTATAGGGTTTTCTGGATGGTGACTTTCCTGTCCTCAAGTCTCTGGTTCTATTTATAATTCAAGTCTCTCCTATGCTTTTGCACACTCTTTATTGTCAACTAGGTGAAAATTATAAGTCTGATTGCTTTGAAAAATAATAGCACACTTCCTCAATAAGCCACATCGTAAATATCACATTATGTTCTGAAATGGGTTAGGTTTTTGTTCTGCCTGAGAAGAACCCATAACATTTTTTTTTAAATAATGTAATGTAATATAAATATTTATATTATAGATGTAGTTCCATGCCAGTTATTTGGGAAAGCAATGTGTCAAATGTCCTTTGCAGATGTTTGCCTCTAATGTGAAAGTTTTCATGGGTTTCAGCACATTTGACAAACATACCTGTCTTTATCTTTGTAAAGATAGACCAGTTTGCACTGTGTGCAGTTATGTTTGGCTTACTCTCTATTACTGCCTTGAACAAGTAAGTAATCCATGTGACCTTGGTATGGCGCCTTGTATTTTTATGCGTCAAGCACTCGATGGCCATTATGAGGCTTTAGTTCCTGAAAGATTTGTTTGTATCGCCTGGATTCTTGTTCACACTACTGCTTTGCGCTCTATGTGCACTTTTAAACATGCTAATGTGTCTCAGAGCTTGGTGTGTCTTACTTTGAAGGAAATGTCACCTTCGTTTGAACCATGACTGAAACTGTTTTTTTTTTGCTTTAACATATTCTTGTTAAAGCATCATGTTCTCTACTCTTTGTTTTCTTTAATGTAGCTACAGGGATTTACAGTTTACAGAGTCTCAGAATTGAATCTTATACCAGGCTTGTGGTAGTCATGTAGATCAAGCCAGCCAAGCATGCTTTTCAAGTCTAGTCTGAGCGGGCCTAGTGTCTGTTTGAAGACTGTGGAGCTTCATTTCTTTTCACTTCAGTCTTGTTGGCACCAGGCCCAATTCTGTCACCAGACTGCTTTTTGTATTCTCTCAACAAGATGTGTCTTGCTGATAAATCAGTTTTATTTAATGTTGCCATAACCTTGTACACACGTGAGCTGGAGAGACGTGGCAGAATATTTTTGAGCCAAGCAAAGGCACAAAAGATCATGGTCATGGTATATTTTGAGGTATATCTTACACTCACACCAGTTTTTAACCCAAAAATATGAATGTAGAGTGGAATATGGACAGTAGGGACCATGGCCCTACCAAAGTTAAGAGGCTACTGAATAATCTCTGCCATTTCTATTGATCCCAGCTGTGGCTAAATTTAATAAAGCTACTGAATGTAATTCATGTCATGTTTTAATTTGTAAAATTAAGTATTTTATTTCCCATAAAAAGTACACTTAAGTGTTTCAAAGGACTCTGTCTAGCTCGTGACTGTGCATGGGTTGTTTTGGGAATGATCTAAATGCTGCTTCAGTTCTGAACCCAAACTGCTGTAAATCACAATTTATTGTCCTGTGCCTTTCATTGAGGAGCCACATCAAAAAAGAATCTAAACATCAAAAACTAGAATCTCAAGTTTTCAAAAAATGGTGCATCAGCAAAATGTATTGGTTGGATTGACAAACTATTCTTAAGAATGAAATTCTTCTTAACTCATAACCCCCCCCCCTTCTCCCTCTCATATTTAATGTCACCATATGTTATCACACAGTGCTTTTCAAAACAAGTACCAAGCTACTGACAGGAGGTTTTGTAGCAGATTTTAGTTTAGAATATTTGTCTTGATTCTGAAATTCTCATAAAAAGATCAAACACTAAAAACATTTCTTACTGTTTTCTGTCTTATGTAAAAAATGCATGTTTTGAATGTGTATGTACACTGACGTGATGTTAAGGCAATAAGTCACTCAATTTCATGAGTTACAGTGATTTTACCATAATTAAGGTATGTTTGTAGTAGGGCTGGACGATTAATCGAAAAGAAATCGAAACTGAAATTCAGAAACTCTAATCGACATAATTTTCCCATGTCGGTTATTTTGTTTTTTTAATCCTATTAATACTTCCCCTTAAAGGGGTCATATGATGTTGCTAAAAAGAACATTATTTTGTGTAGTTGGTGTAATGAAATGTGTTTATGCGGTTTAAGGTTCAAAAAACACATTATTTTCCACATACTGTACATTATTGTTTCTCCTCTATGCCCCGCCTTTCTTTTACAAAGCTCATCGGTCTGAAAAGCGAGGTGTGCTCTGATTGGCCAGCTATACAGTGAGTTGTGATTGGCCGAATACCTCAAGCGTGTGACGGAAATGTTACGCCCCTTACCATACTGTGATGCCATCTCCTCGCTGGAGCGAGATGAGACAAAAACATTAAAACCCATTATAAACAAGGCATTTGTTGCGTCCAGTGGGGACATAATTATGGATTATAATGACTTATACTGTCTTTTTACGCATTGCGTTGCATCGCACCGCGTAAACATAAAACCATATCTGCATTTGTGATCGGAGAAATGACAAACAACAAGCGCTACTCTACACTGCTCGATACTCATATTTGAATCGTCATTGGCAAATTCTTAAATATAAAAAACGTACTTACAGTCTGTGAGTCAGAACAGCCGGCATTTTAGTCTACTCTTCCAGGATCAGGAAATAGTCCTCCATAAAATGTGCTGCACACATCTGATTTATAGTCGTGTCCTCTTTTGGAAGTCCAAACAAAGTAGTTTTGCTTTCACAATGAAACACACAGCGTCACACACGGTGGGCTAGAGTGAGCGGAGGCCTAGAGTGAGGAACGGCCGGCGGACTAGAGTGAGCGGAGGCCGGCGGATTTGACGAAGGAGCGTCTGGCGGGCTTGCGGCAACCACATGTGACGACCCCGGGCTGGACTCCGCTTC